TGTTCCCTCATTTACTCCCCCAGTTATTATTATCATTATATCATATTTCACCAGCGCTTGATGCAGAAGAATGGAAATCCGTCCCCTTACTCTGACAAGTAATAGCTGACAAGAGAAAGAAGAGAGAATATAATGGGTTGCCCCATTATTCAAGTAGACCCTCCCACTAATCGCTTCCTTCCCCTCGCTACCCCCAATGGAAGAAATATCTGGAAAGACTTCGCTGTCACCACGGCAGGTGGGAGTGACAGTTGCCTTACTTACGCACTAGACTAAATGGCAATTGAAGACTGCAGAGCCGAACGCAGCTGGGATTGTTGCAAAAGTTTCACGATGTCCCGTGGTGCTGCGGAATATCCCTTAGAGTGTTTCCTTAACATAAATCTAGGAACAAAAACTTCACGGAGACTGTAGATGACTGGCGAGTGTCTTATGGACACCTGCAGTTCCTTTATATAAATAGAACAACAGTCTTTAGGAGGGAAAGAATTTATGTTTGAAGATATGAAGTGGGATTATTTTACTATCGAAAGCAAATAGCGAAGCTTTCTAAATCACTCCTTGATTATATTAGGCTTTTCGAATTGATAATTTGTAAAGCATTCTACTTACGAAGATAAGAAAAATTCTTTTGACATCTAGACATTCGCTGCAGTTTCTTCTGGTGAAATTTATGACAAATAATACCTGAAGATAGACCAGAATTGTGTACAGTGTCGGTTTATTTTTTTAATTTTTGTAGAATTGTAGAATTCAAATCAATTGTAGAACATTTTAATTAGAACGGGCTGCCGAAGTTTGCGAATATTATGTAATAAAATTCACAGAATCCAGCTACAGTCATTTATAAATTTCTAACATTACAGTTAAAACGAAGATTATAAAAATCATTTACTACACTTAAAAGCAAGTGATCATCGCAACAAATAGGAAGCATTCACAATATTTTTTTATAAAATTAAAAATTAGCTGTTTTTTGCTTCATTACAACTATTTTTCTTTTAATGTAGTTGGGTTAAACTTGTTTTGCACTATATAAGTGTAGAGTTACACAATCAACTACAATCGACTATTTGTCTTTATTTTTTTTTTCTTTTTTGTTGTTGAATCAATTCACATTTTCCATTTGGGTTGGTATCCTCTCTTTCAATTTAACACTTAATGAATTTGGTTTAGTGCATTCTAGTCTCTTTCTGATCGGAATAAGTGGAAAGTAAACTTAATTCTCATAAGCAAAACTAATTCAATATTATAAATACTGAACTCTGATTACAAATCTCGGAAATTCAAACACGATTTTAATGCTGATATTTATTTTATAAATTTATAAATCCACTTATAATCAATATTTAAATATTCAGTTGATAGTTTTACAAGTTTTAAGCCTACAAAAGCAAGGAATGATATTATAAATAGTTAAGATATGGCAAATAATTTGTGATTAACATAACATTGTTAATCCTTAAAATATAAAATATGACTACTTATAATCATGACCGAACCAATTTTTTATCAGTTGATTATAAAAATCAAACATTACATCTATCGTTTCGCTTACTTNTATAAATTTCTAACATTACAGTTAAAACGAAGATTATAAAAATCATTTACTACACTTAAAAGCAAGTGATCATCGCAACAAATAGGAAGCATTCACAACTATTATTTGAGTAATATATATTTTTTATTAAAATTAAAAATTAGCTGACGGTATTTACATTAAATGTAAAAAATAAACATATTGAAGATATAAAATTTTCTTCATTTTCCGTCGTTTACAATAACCAGCGACAGTCCAATACAAAATACAATTTTCACTTACGGAAAAGACCTTTTATTTGAGGCTACGCCTCTGCAAAAAATTGTAAAATGGATTTAAAAACGATGCCAAATGCATTTTTATGGAGGCGCAGCCTCAAATAAAAGGTCTTTTCTGTAAGTGAAAATTGTTTTGGGCTGTCGCTTGTGATTGTAAACAACAGAAAATGAAGACAATTTTATATCTTCAATATATTTATTTTTTATATTTCTGTTGATAAATATACACGATCATTTATTACATTCAATCTGCGGTAAAAATCATATAAATTGATAGATTCTCAATCACAAGAATAACCAATATTTTTTTATGGAAACTTTGCAGATGTTTCAATCTTTTTAAATATTGCTTGCCCCGTAGATATTACTTACGAATGAAGAGAGCTTCGATATTAATTTTACTTTGTTGTTATTTCATAAATATTATATTACTACATTCCAAATATTAATCCTGTGTTAAACGAGAAGCAAGAATATCTGAAAATTAAATAAGCAGCTTTGTATGTATTAATCAGAAGAAAATTACTTTCTATCTCATAATCCCAATTCAGAGAGACATTTTTCAAAAAGTAATCTTTAATATTTCAGATATTTAATCTACGTGTCTAGTTTCATTATATTTAACTTTTTAATTTTGGCAATTCGATGCTTTTCTTAATTTAAAAATTCTTGAATAAAAATTTCGAATATTGTAATTATAAGATATGATTTTTCATTTAAAATAAATTATTCTTATACATTTCATTTTTAATTATTTAAATTAAATAAATTTTTAATCGAAATGCTGTTGAATCCATAAAATCTGATATTCTATCGTATATTATAAAGTATTAATTTTATCCGATTTAACAAAACAAGATAGAATTAATAATATAAAAGAATTAGTTGGAAAATTATTTATAAACTAAAACCAGTATCTATTAATATTGTATTATTTCGTCTTCTATTATAGAGGAAAATACAAGGTTTTCTTTTCTATTTGAATTTGCATTGTTTCTTAAAGTACTTCAAATTGTACAAGGATTATGGTTACGTTATAGTTTCTATAGCATAAGAAAAGTCTTATAAAATATTCATTTTAGTAAATATTTGTCACAAGATTGTCAACTTTATTCCTGTCTGAATATTCTTGAAAAATTAATATCCTTTTCCTCGACAAAAATCTGAAGCTTTTCTAGTTTGAAACTCTCTTTAAAAATACAGTGCAAAATACCTGAAAATGGAATTTCTTCAGAAAATATGGTCATATATGATACTTAAAAACTTCCTTCAATGATTTAAAAATATCTTTTTATATACAAAATGTATAATGTTAGAATTTTATTTTATTATTTAATATTTTGATTTGTACTGTTTTGTGTTTTCTTATTTATAAAGAAATTATTTTTTAACAGAAAGAAATTCATTAAGGTTCCTAAAAATATAAGATTATAATAAACATAAAGAATTGCCATTAGTGTAAAGAATGATTTCAATAATCACAGTAAACACAGTAATAAAAAAAACAAAAAATAATAAAACAATATAAACAAAGATAATTTTATTTTAGAAATACTCCGTGCCAAAGTTCCAGAAAACTTTAAGTAAACAAGGAAAGTAATTGTGTTGAATAGAACTGGCTCCGTTTGTGAATCCAACACAGCTACAAAGAAACCAACAGATGTTAGTTTGAGAGACAAGAAGATAAAATATTCAAGGTGCTAGCTTTGTTTGAATAAATTTCTTTCTAGAACTGATGGATGAAACAGAACTAGAAATAATTTTATTAGTCAGAAACGAACTAAAAAAACAAAAAAGAAAGACAACTCGTTTAAATAATTATTTTTTTTTCCACGACTAAAAGTAAAAAATAGTGAAGAAACTTTAAAAACTTTCTAAATAAAAGATTCAAATAAACATTTACTTTAATTTTTCATTACTAAATCCTTTATATAATTTTAAAAAACCCAGAAAAATATTAATTATTTTTATTTTTAATTAATTTAAAAGCCGGGTAATCGAATTAGTCAATTATACTTTTCATTAAAAGCTAATTAATAAGAGTTTATTAAGTTAAATAAAAAGAAATCATTTTATTGATGCTTTTATATATTTAAATTAATTTCGTCGAAAAGTTATTAAAATATTTTTTAAGTGTAAAGCGTATTTTAATAATTTTTTAATGAACGTAGTGGAAAAGTTTTGAAGTAGATGCATGTTATCACGTCAGTGAATAAACCTATAAAGTCGGTGCAGCTGCATAGAATAACAGGAAATATTAATCTCGTACAGGAGATGAACGAGTCGAATGGAGATTATAGATGTCGCTTAAAGCAGAACATGACGAGAATGTCAAACCTATGGTCTGCAGTATCTAAGAGGTTGAACGAGATTAGAAGAAAAGTGCAAAATGTTGTTCTGTTGGAGAGAGATTGCCAACCTTGAATTAATTGTAACGGAAAGTTTCCGAATTGTCCATTTAAATCCACTTTCAAACCTCTTTTTTCTTTTTTAAACATACATCTTTCTTACTATCTCCAAATAATAATTGAAGTTTGGACGCACTTTTCCCCCTCCCAATTTTTATTATTTTTGTATCCTCAAAAAGGTGAAAAAAAGACAAATTTTGATTTATATTTCTGCAATCTAAAATTATTTTAAAATATGAAATAAAGTTGCAGAACAGAGAAAATGAAGATTCCATTTTTATAACTTTATAAAACATTTATCCGAAATAAATATTATTTAAGTAAATATTTTTACTCGAATATATTTTTATATGTTGCCGGTCATTTCTATTGATAAACTCATAAAATAAGCAATAAAAAAGCTCATTTGTAGAATAAATCTCTAGAAATAACCGATTTAATGCATTTTCACCTTTCATAAAATACCATGCTTCGTGTTTTGCAATAAATTTTTTAAACAATAAAAACCAAACTTTTATACATAAAATCTTGGGACAAATAATCTTATCTTTTAATATTAAAATATCGACTTCGTAGAATTTCGAATTTTGTATTCTTCTCCTATCACGGATATTTATTTTCATATGATATAGAAATGTTGGCTTTTTAATAATAGAAAAAAATCTTTTATTCATTATTAACCATTCAATAACAGTAATTATTATTTTATCAATTTTTTTAAATATAAAAACGTATTTTATATATTGTTATTCGTGCAAAGATAGGCAGTGATGTCTTCTTTCTGGATTATGTGAATTGAAGATTAATATCTGTTTATAATTAACACTTTACGTTAATAAATTATCGATTGAGCGAAAGATGTTTATCAGAAATGCAGACATATTCTTTGTTCTTATAAATAATGTAGCAGAAACAATCATATTTACCTGATGATTGTTTAGTAAAAAACAATTTGTTGCTCGTCGTCGTTCCAGCTGCTGCATATACCATCTCGTATTGGTAGTTTCTGTATTCCAGTGGTTACATCTCGAGTCGAAAGACACCATCTAATCAGAATCCTTACTTCACTACTCAATATTCTACTTGAATACAGAGTGTATTGCATCGGCAATAAGGTAAAGTGCATATTTTCAAAGATAGAATAGTATGTTTTCCATTGAATAGAAAGTTTTTGACGTGTTTTGTATAGATATGGAATTGTAGAAAAACGAACCCGTGAGAGGTACTCTTGCAATGAAAGAATAGTAAAAAATTGATTGTTTCTAAAAATTTTTCTGACAATAAGACCGATTAAATATAAAAATATCCAAATATAAAAAATACTAATTTAGTAATCACTTAAAAACATTAATTATTAACCATTCAAAAACAGTAGCCCCATTGTATTATTTCGTCTTCTATTATAGAGGAAAATACAAGGTTTTCTTTTCTATTTGAATTTGCATTGTTTCTTAAAGTACTTCAAATTGTACAAGGATTATGGTTACGTTATAGTTTCTATAGCATAAGAAAAGTCTTATAAAATATTCATTTTAGTAAATATTTGTCACAAGATTGTCAACTTTATTCCTGTCTGAATATTCTTGAAAAATTAATATCCTTTTCCTCGACAAAAATCTGAAGCTTTTCTAGTTTGAAACTCTCTTTAAAAATACAGTGCAAAATACCTGAAAATGGAATTTCTTCAGAAAATATGGTCATATATGATACTTAAAAACTTCCTTCAATGATTTAAAAATATCTTTTTATATACAAAATGTATAATGTTAGAATTTTATTTTATTATTTAATATTTTGATTTGTACTGTTTTGTGTTTTCTTATTTATAAAGAAATTATTTTTTAACAGAAAGAAATTCATTAAGGTTCCTAAAAATATAAGATTATAATAAACATAAAGAANATTTAAAGTTACGAAAGAGCAATTTAAAACTTGAAACGAAGACAAAACTTCTTTTTGTAAGTTGATATATAATTAATTGCTGCCAGTCTATATTAAATTTTATTTTTTAAATGATTTATTGGAAATAAAGCCTTTTTAAAATAGTGAAAAACGAAAAGTGTAACTAGTCACACTTTTTTGTTACTTTAAAATGACTGCAATTAATCTTAAGATACGAAAACAAAACCATTTAATTTGACGTTTTATTAGAAAATGCTTTTTTATCATTTCATTTGGTTTAAGATTTATTAACATATGTTAAAATTAAATTATTTCTTTATAAATTTTAACTTTTAAAATAATATTTCTTGCGACTTATTATTTTCCTAATTGATGACTAATTTTATGACTTAAATTTGAAAATATTCTTCGTCTTTTCCTTAATTTATTCAAAATCTGATATGAAAATATATTTAATATTTAAAAAGGAAAAATTACAGACAGACTAGAAATCAAAGTCTACAACTTAAATAAGTTATAAGTCAACATCATCTTTCTAAATTGTAAGTATTTATGACGAGGTACACAATCACAACATATTTCTATAAACGTAGAAAACCAGCGGCCGGTTCGTATTTCTTCTGGCTTAAACTAGGAGAGTCCGGGTCAAATTTCTAGTCTAGTCAATTTCCACCTTCTATCGACTTCACCTAAACGTACTTGGCTTGTCGATGGCGAGTATTTTATCGAGTCTGGAGAATTATAATCCATAATGCAACTGAAAATCTATATCGAGCTACGTTAACGGAAACATTTATGCTTAATAACTAAGTCTGTGGCCATTTATAAATAAAGAAACTTCACTTTAATTCGTAGAAATATAAATATTCCAAGTTAAATATAATATTTAATTTGTATTATTTTATTAATAAAGATGTTTATTTTGCTTACATTTAATAAAAATTAGCTTCCATTTTTTGAAATTTCAATTCTATTTCATTATTTTCGAGTTTTTATGTATGTATCATCAACTATAATCAATCCACTGTTGGATGAAGGTCTTCTCTAATCTTTTCCATTTTTCTCTGTCTAATGTTTTGGTTTTCCATATATATTATATACAGATATATAACAGAATACAGTACAATTATATATTTATATACATATATATTCTTTATACGAAAAGATGAAAAGTATATAAAATTATATACACTTTTGATCTTTTCATCTTTATACAAACATAAAATATTTATCTTATCAATATTCATAATAATGAAGCATTCACAATATTACATTACGATATAACTTATTGTGGTATTAAATGTAGCAGTAATACAGTAAATAATTTTATAATCCACTTTTTATAATTCTGTAGAATTTTCTTTCGATCACGTAAAATAAACATTTATACTTGTTTATTTCATTTATTTACAGGCAAATGTATAAAAATATCAATTATGAAGTAAATTATACACTTAAATAATCAACTAACGAGTTAAATTTAATGTCACGTGCAAATTAAATATTTCAAAATGAAGCTGCCAATCTTTTCCTAAGGCAATTTTATTGAACAGATCGCAGTCTTCTATGCTTAAATAGTTCTGGAGTTTATACGGTAACATCGGAAAATCAAATTTACATAATAAACAAAGTAATTATATATTACTGTTTGCACAAAGTTTTTGGCTGCGGTAACTTATTATATTTTTCAAATTATTAATAACTGAAAGACGTCGCTTTTAGTTAGTTGCTATTGTTTTTTGTGTCTCCATATAACACAGTTGCTGTTATTAACGTCTAAAAACATTTAGATTTAAATATCACACCCTCTAATTGTATTTAATACAAAATTTATACGAAGAAATAAATATTCTTTACATGACCTCATCTTAATAAATATTTTACATCCATAATATATTTAATATGTATTTATTACGTTACGAAAAATCCAGAATATATAGGGGAGACCGGGGCAAGATCGGCATGTTAAGTTTTACTTAAATTTTGTGTAATAAATACTGCTGTAAACTGAAAAAAAAGCTTTGCATATTGTCTATTGGAATGTTACCTTACTATAGAACTGGTTAAAATCAGTTTGGAAATAAAAATAATTAAAATAATTACAACTTTACAAGAAGAGAGAAATTGACGAAGTTGCCCCGGGTATAGGGGCAAGATCGGCAACTTCTCTCTTTTTGTAAAGTTGTAATTATTTTAATTATTTTTATTAAAGTTGCCCCTGGTATAGGGGCAACAGTAATGGGGCAAGATAGGCACGTATATAAAATTATGTTATTAACAATGTATAAGTTGGAATTCACTATTAAAACAAAGAAATACAAATCCAACACCCATTTAATATTATTACAACGAAATGCAAGTTCAAAGACATATATACATGAATAACAAATGCAAACATGTTTTCATTTATCATCTGTTTGATTTTTATCCTTTGCTTCTAATGTGGCTTTATGTTGCCGATCTTACCCCGCTAGTCATGATTTCGAAACATTAAGTACAACCCTGAGAACAGAATGCCAAGCCACGATCTGGCCACGTGAATAAGTTGAAGTTACATCCTTCTAACAGGAAAAGTAACTTTCGTTATCATGGAATTATAACAAAACCTGCCAATTCAATATAAATGGAAAAAAAATATTATATGGAATTGAACGAAAATGAAAATTTGCTTGATAATTCAACTACGCTTGTTGGAGAACAATAAAAACACTACACTCAACAAGCCACCAATAAAACTCAACTGCCTAACCTATAACCAAAGTCTCCTTTTAATTTGTTTTTAAAAAAAAGCGCTTGACAAACTTGCCCCGCATGCCGAAGTTGCCCCGGTCTCCCCTATATATATAACAAAATACGTTTTTTCTTATAAATGTAATATATTTCAGTCAAATAAATGTTAACAACAATATTCATAACCTTATTTTAAAAGAATAATTTCTTAAAATCCCATATTATAATTTGAAATTTAAAATAATAAAAGTTTAAAATATAAAAATGTTTATTTTAGCTACTAGCCTATTTATTTTATATTATGTAAAGAAACTTGCGTAATTACATAAACAAGATAAGCAATTAAATGTATTTTTAATGTAGACAACATTAAAGTAATGATTTTAAAATTCTTTCAATGTTTCAAGTGGGTGCATTTACATATAGGATAATAGAAAACGATCTACATTTTAAGTGCAGGATATTCTACATCCGACAATGTTTAAAAAAGGAGAGAAAACACTCCTATTTTTTCTAATTATCAAAATTTTCTTTTTTTTGTCATTGGCCTAGTTATAATGTTCATACTAACAATAGTAATTGCATACTTGGTAAAAACATCATTATGGAGGATTCTCTTAATCTTTCATTACGTGAGAGTAACTTCTGAATCTTCTTTTGATCTTTTCATCTTTATCTAAGTTCCCTACCAGTTTTCACAATGTCTATTTCTCTCTCATTACCAGATCCTAGATTCACTCCAATTTTGAAACTTTCAATTTGTATTTTCAGCATTTCTAATTAGATTCTACAAATATATAAATTTTNATAGTTCACTACTATATAACTATATATATATATATATATATCCTATCATAGTAATGTATATCACTTTATCACCATTGAAGTGATAGACGGCATACAGTACATATTTTACAAATTCGTTTAACTGATTCAACATTTTCCACTTTTCATTTATCTAGAACAAATGATATAAGGTAGTGGAAATCCAATAAACAAAACATCCTTGTTTGTAAAAATAGATATATTTAATTTTCAAAATAAAAAAATAAAGAATTTTTTGTGTTTAAAACACAAAAACAATATAAATTTCTGGAGATTGTAAACTAAAAACATAACTCTCCTCAAATTTTGGTTATTTTATTGAATTATTACTAGCGTTTGATTAAAAGTCATAAATTTACCAGTCTTACTTTTATTCCGTTATCTTTCTTGAATTTATATAAATAGTTTGGATCATAGTATTATTTCCAATCCCTCTATTGCGCTAGTCGACCTCATTGAGAATTGAAGCCCGTTCGTAATAAATAAAAATTGTAAATGCTATATCTCATTGTGTAATGGAGTTTTGAGGAAAAAAATACGAATTTATTCCACTGTTTATTGATAGCTTTATTAAAAGAGCCCTTGTTCATTTAATCTTACTAAAAATAAACAAAATATATTAATAGTTCTTTTACTTATATACTAATTTAGCATAACGATAAATATAAATGAATACAGTAATTTTATATTATACATTAAAAAAGTGCATTTTCTTTTAGTCCATTTTTTCTAAATTTCTATTATTTCTACGGAGATGGATAAGATATTTTACACGAATATTGTTATTCAAAATGAACTAGTTTTGACGAGCTTGAATAAAAACAAGCTTAAATTGATTTTATAATTTTGTAATGCAGAAACGATGTAATTTCCGAAAAAAAAGTGGGGAAAAAATGTGTCGTCGATGATAATGCAACCAATTCATACATTATTTTCAATATTGTGTTGGAGCAAAAAATGGAGGAAAGAAAAAATTAGCATTATGTTATTCAAAAATTTAATCATTTTTATTAAATATTTATACAAAAATTGAAAAGAATTATCTGTTAAACATCTTTTTCTCCCTCCCTCCTTTCATCATGGAAAAATTCTTTAGAATTTGAATTAAATGTATGTATTTTCAATACTACTGCTGAAAAAAAAGCATCCGTAATATTTAAAATGCACATTTAAAATATTAAATAAAATAATATAGTTTTGGTGGAGAAAAATTTCATCAAATTGTTGTATATCAGAAATTTGTAAACTTATTTCAGTCGTTTCTTAAGTTACGATCCTTATCACTTTGTACTAAAAATACGTACAATATATCAAAAAGTTCTTTATCGATTACCTAATAAATTATATCACTCATCTGGGCTAGCTTGTATTTTCAACAAGCAAATTTCACAATGATTAAGGAGGTAATAACCCCTTAGCTCTTTTGATGTTTGTTTCGCACGAGCAGGCGTGGTCAAACAAATCCATCTCCTAGGGATGTAGGACTTTCTACGAAACAATGAAATTCTGTAATCCAATAGGGAAAGGGGCACGCTGCTCTGGGAAAACACAACAGTTGGCAGAATCACTTAAATCAATAGGAAACAAAATAGAAAAGCAGCAACAAAATAATAGAGGAGAATTCATTATTTGCATTTTTCTTTCATTTCTAAACTGATTGTTGTCAATGCATAAGGATCCAACTAACAAAATTTAATCTCATAACTTTAAATTTCAATAGAATACGAATCTTTGAATATTTATTTTTATACATTATTGTGTCCACCTTGGAGACGAATATAATAAAATTCAACTGTTTTTCTAGATATTTCTCAAGTTAAACTTTTCCATTAGATTCTCTATTTAAAAAAACATATAATGGAATTTTTAAATATTATTACAGTTATATTCTCTATAAAAGATAATATTTTTAAAAACTATTGTATATATAATCGAAAAATAATAATTTTCTGTAAGAAAATAAAGAAAAAGCAGTTTAAATGCAACTAACAAGTGATTTTTTTCAATTTTTGTACTTTTATTACAAGCAAAGATTTTTAAAAAAGAAACTATTTTTTACATATAAAATAATCTTTTTTTAAATTGGAATTCTTTAAAAATGTACTTATTTCAATAAAAATCTGCAGTTATAACTTTTATCTGTTATATTAAAAGATGATTAAAAAGTATGCAATTTATGTTTCTTCAACAGGTTAGATTTTTCTAAATTAATTTATCCCTTAGTGATAATTATTGTCAATTTAGGTTTTTTAGTGGTAAAACCGCAATTAAGATTTGTAAAAATTGGGAAAGTTGTTTTCAAAAATACTTATTACTTACTGAAATAATCGCCGTTATGAATATCTCAAAATTTTATCTTTACATTGATTCGATTTTTTTAATATCATTAATAATTTAGACTTGGCCATAATTAGGTAACTCTAATGGAATTCCATTAAATATTTTAGATGATGATATAACATTATAGATTCTGTAATTATTTATACCGCTATTAAAAAATTCTTCACAGATCTCTCATAATATATTTTATTACTTTCTATATATATATATTTTTTTTTCCGGGTAAAATTTTAACTTTATCCTTGGCAATTTACAAGAATAAATATTCGCGTGATGGTTTATTCCGTAAACAGCCTTCAGCCCGCAACTATCCGATTTATTTAATATTTTATTTTGGGAATTTTCCAGGTCATTTTATTAGATAGAAGTCGCTAGAATTATTTGATATTCATAGAACGCAGTTATATTATTTGGAACAAGTTTTTAGAGTTTTGTAATAAAACTTCTTCCATGTTATTAGTTTGATGTATTTGCACATAAAACATATTTTACTTTATATACTTGTAAACTTAGATCTTATTTTCTCAAGAAAATTTTTTCGCATTATTGCATAATAATTTACTCAATAGTAACCTGAGCACTAGCAATTTTTGACAGTTTTTTCCCTGCTTTTTCTTAAAGAATAAAACATTCTTCAAACATTTTTTCTCACTTTTTATTTTCTGTATTTCATTTTATTTAAGAAAAATATATTCATTCAAAATAGGAATCCTCACGAAAATCTGGAATAAATTCTTTTTAACCAAGTCAATGAAAAATTTTTTTATAACTCGAAGTCTTAAAATTATTTGCACGTCACGTTAGCTTCCTTTTAATTAATATTAAATGCAATTTATAATAAATATATCCAATTAATTTTAAATATTTTAAAATTAGAAATTAATTATAAATATAAAAATTCTAGAATTTAGTCCAGAGATTCTGTTCGAAGAAGTATTGCAATATATACATTGATTACAGTACTTAAATTCTAAAATGTGGCTTATAAATATGATGAAAATTTAGGATAATGTCGTTAGATGATTCATTGAAGAAGTGCGATATTAAAATTGCTATAAAAGTGAAAAGAACTTTTTAATACAATGAATATAACGGCGTAGGAATGGTCAGATGAGCAAAGCAGCTGCTATCATTCAGAAAGGTCACACCCTCTGCTATCTATATAAAACTCTAATCTTTCTTGACAATTTATAATTAAAATATGATTAAAATAAAATGCGCTAGTAACATTCTTCGCTATAGTTAATTCCGTTTCAATTAAATTTATTATAAAAGAATTATATAGCATAAAAATTTGTAATTTATTTTTTCTTTAGTTATCGTTGCCGGTCTCAAAGAATTTAATTTATTGTTGGTCAGTATTTTTCATAATTTTGGTTTATATTATAAACTAATTTAACTTAATAATTAATTGCAAAACTTTGACTATTTAGAAGACTCTTGTAATTAAAAATGTATTTATTATGCAACATTAAAATATGAAATTTTAAATATTTCCAGTTTATAGAGTGAAATAAATTGAAGCAATTTCGAAATTTATTGTTTCCTTTATAATATTTTGATTCATGATTAATTATGTTGTTGTTTTTGTTCGAAGCAAATAAACTATTACTTTATAAGTTGTTTTAATACAAAATATATATGTTTATTTATTTTATTATTTAATAAAATTATATTTCAAATTAGTATTAACGCATTGTAATCATTATAACATTTAAGTCTCTTAATAGAATTTCTTTTCTTTTTTACTTTTATTAAATAATACATTTTTCTATACATTTTTGTGATAATTTTTTGCGATGTACTCTTTGTTGAATAACAGAACAACGTCGATGGTGCAGAATATAGGATTACATAACTTATGTAGATGCTGTGAATTTGGACAAATGTCACTCCTGTGTGACGATTACATCTCCTGACCGTGGCTCTTTTCCCACAAGATAGAGAGGATGGTTGGCTTAGACTATTACTGTGTTCATCGAACGTAATTCCATAGATTAAGTCCATCCTTTAACAAATTCAATCGATACACAATCTCATTTTATAAACTTTATTACATAACAAAAGATCTACGGCTAGTATTTACTATTAAAAATAATAGTCTCTCTCTAATCATAAAATGGTGTGAAGATGCGGCACTTATTGTTACACTGATCAGTCATACGATAAGTAGATGATTAAAATCGTCTGAATATTAGTAACGTAATACTGTTAAATACTTCATGGTGTGCGGGACCATTTTCGATTTGCTCGTAACAGTTAACATCGGCCAACACCCTTACAATGAATGACTACGTAATGATTATAATGAAATATTAATTACTTGGATAAATCATTATTTAAGACGATCCCGAATCTATCCAATAAATCCTTATAAGATTCTATGTTGGTCGTGTGGTATATTTACATTTTGACACGTGCTTCTTGTCAATTATTATAATGTCCGATCTCAATTCATGTTTTATGTATGAACCCATAAATATATTAAAAATTTGTTCTAAATACGTTTTTTNATATATTAAAAATTCATTCTTGTATTATTTATTACATATATGTGGAGATGAAGGCTTACTCTTAATCGTACAAAAAATTTATAAAACTATGCAAAGAATACAGCTTAATTAAATATACATTTTCCAAGGATAACCAGGAGTGAATCAAAGATTTTAGTAATATTATTTTTCTTAATACAATTATATTTTTTAAAAAATCAAGATTTTAACAAAATATATATATATATATATTATTGATTTTTTTGTGAGAGGAATGAAGTCATTCTATTTGTGAAGTATTAATTTAAAAATTTAATTTTAAGAATAAACTAGTCTCGAAATCTTTATCAAACATCTTAACTTTAAAAAATTTAGTTTTTATTGTAATAAATCTATCTTAACAATCATTAAAAAGTTCATTATGATTCTCTCGTGGATAGTATTTTTTAATTATCATTTTAAACGAGAGAACTTAACTTAATCTATAAAATATTTTTTATAAATAAAAAAGCAGTTAATGAGCGGATGTTAAAAAAATAAACAAATTTTTATTTTATTACCGGAGAAAAGAAGTTATAAAGCTTTAAGTAACTGTTGCCGCTTTAATGGAAACATTAAAAGATTTTAATCCTGTACATTTCTCTATTGAAGAATGTTTAGAAGTTTAGAGAAACGGTTATTAATTTTATGAATAATTAAAAGTTTTGATAGTATGAGGAAATTTAAATTCTACTGATAAAATTCCTTTTCTACAACACGCCTTTAATTATATAAGAAAAAAGTGAGAAGGAAAATTTTCCTTAAAAGTTAAAATTTATGAATCAAATGATAAAGAAACTTTCTGAATTTCATTTAAGATTATTTCCAGTTGAATATTATTTCGAAGAATTGATTTGAGAAACATCTCATATGTATAAACAACCTTCTCTTAAGACAACACTTAGAAAAACTTTTAAATTTACCTTTCTGTCATATGCAAACGCATAATGGCTTCTCTAAGATGAGGATATTAAGAAAAGAAAAAAAACTTTTAAAATGATTTAATTTTGTGAGAAAAATTAAACTACGCTTTGGACCATATTCCATTTATTATCTTATATTTTAATATTGTAGGGAATGATGACAGGAGCGGCTCTTATTGACTTAAAACGTCAATATTTATAAGTAGATAAATTTATTTTCTCATTGTTAATTCTATTTCCACTTAAAATTTTTGTTTTAGTCATTTATAACTAAAATATTGCTACGAGCAATTTAATATTATATAGAAAAAAGTTCTGCAGTATATATTTTTTCCTTTTAAAGAAACTAAAAATAGTAAAAAAGCGTACTCGGATTTATATTTATAATCCACTTACATTGTTATTTCCTATATCTATTAAGTATTTTTCTTTTGATAAAGAATATGTTTACTACGAAAGAGAAAAGTAGCTATTTGTGTTTTTATTTAGGTTCTTATAAATCGATCGATGTTTATTATCATCTAAAATGAATTCCGAATTTTTCTTTACTTGACGTAAAACCCTCAATTAATTAGATATTATTGAATTCTAACGAAATGAAGAGAAGATACAAACTTTTTAGCATTTGACGAATTTTTCTTGTTCAATCAGTCGATCTGCGAGACTAACTAAATGCTTAATGGATAGCAATTAGTCAAGATCTAGACGTCTAGGAAATACTTGGAGGTAGAATAACCTCCCAGCCGACAATTCCACAACCTCTGGCAAAATTCCAAATATATTTCTTTAATGATCAACGGAAACCTGAAAGAGTATAGAGGGAGAAATAGTGGGGAAGGGAAAACGATTATTGCCAAGCGCACTACCACTCATAACGTGGACGAAAATAATCGATATTCAAATTTTGGCTTCTTTTCTTTTTCTTTTTCGGTACCGGTTCCGTCATCTTCTCCTCACAGTACATTAGTGTCGTTAATGCGAAGGCAAATTAACGTCTTCCAGACTGAAGTAACTTCCTTTCTGATTTCTAAGTCAGCAAAACGTGACTAATGTTAACTAGCAAATTGTATCTGAAAACTTTATTAGTCAATATCGCTTTACACGTATTTAAATGGCAAGATTCTCATTTGTCACTTAATATATTCCTTTTTTCCTCGTGTTAAAATAATTTTATTTCCCGAGTAATGTAATAAAATGCGCCATTTTATTTTATTTTTTCCTCTGGAAATTTACTTAGAAGCTTTCTGTTGTATAACTTCTTTATTCGATTAGAACTCAATATCTATTCGAAAAATATCGATTGTAAAATCTGAAGATTTGAAAAATTACGCAACTCTTGCCATTAATTATAATACGTTGGATATTTGAAAATGTCATTAATTATTCGATTATTTTTTTTTCGATACTAATCATTCTTTGGAGGATTTTAATCGAGTAAATGACGTAGACAAATCTAATCTCACTTAAGGTGTTTTAATAGAATGAAAAATATATAGTTGCGAAATTACAAGTACAGTTGTGTGGGTTTTATACGCCCAGTCTAGACATTCAATTTATCTTTTTCTCTTTACCAATTGCATGGTAAATCCGGAGCAACTCAATCCGTTCCTGTCAAACTTGGTTTTATTGTTTTTAGACAGTTCTTGTGACTTAATACAACTGGGAGAATAAGTCATTTCGCTCGATACAGAGACAGATAAGTAAATTTTAAAAGAATCGAAATGGAGAAAAATCTATATTTATTTTATAGCTTTTTTAAATTTTTAAAAGCAATGACAAAAATTTCCTCTTCGGTAATAAATCTGACTGATGTAAAACATAAATTTTCACTAGTGGGCCAGGAAAAACCTACATTTTACAGAAAAAATACTACAGCAAAATGGTAAACTAAACTAGAAGTTATTAAGAATTCAGTAGTGTGTAGATTTGTCTACATTTCGTATGAATTTTAAGTCAAGTATCACTTTCTATGTAAAGGATCACTAAAAAATATAGAATCTCGACTCATTACTTATCGTTTTTGATCTTTCTCCTCTCTTCAAAAGGACTCCTGTATAACTCGATTCCTATTGAAAATATTAACTAAAATCATTATTATTTTCTCATTAAAGCAACCACTTTAAAAGAACTTACTTCATTTAATGATTAAGAAAATAGTTGTTGAAGTTAAACCCTTCTTAAAAGATAAATCGTTAGTCGATCTTTTCTAGTTAAAGTTCTTTTAAACCTTTAAAAAGTGAATGGATAAAACAGCAGTTTAATCTCTTCAATTTTCTTCAAGTCGGAAATTGATAGCAAAACTCCTTGAGAAAATCACGCAATATTTTCCTGTACTTCAATCATGTTGGATAACTTCAGGTAAAATGCTCTCTGTCGAACCGCTGTCGGCTCTATTAACCGTCTTTCGAGTTCAATTTTAATTAAAATTATTTCTAGAGGATCTTCAAAAGACAAGCATTTAAAGTAACAAACCATAATATTCATCTATATATTCACAAAAATTTCATTTACGAGAATATAATCAGATTTCTAGAAATTAAATTCTGAATACGAATAATTACAATCTAAGTAAACTTGAATTTAATTT